GATCACTTCGATCAGTACGTGATGGCGGGCACTAGCGAACAGCCACGACTTCGTCGAAATCGGCCATCACTGATGAGGCAGAGCGATGTGAACGATGCTAACGCAGTGAGGGCTTTTTCTTTCAATTCCAACTTCAAGAGATACTTTAAATAACCTCACTTTTCTCTTTCCTTCACAGCTCACTCAGTGCTTTATCAACCCAGTCCCTATTCTTTCAACATCTGTTTCTCCAAATTACAGTTGTTAAATCGGCGTTCAACACTCGCGTCAGCTCGCGATCGTCGAGCAGAGTCCACGCAAGATTCAGCCGAGAATCTAGGGAGTTTGCCGAATCTCGCTGAACTTGAGAACAGCGCGGTAAGCATTTTCCAGCTTCTTCTGCACTTTTCTCGAAGTGCATTGAATGGAATATTGCGTTTAGTTGCGTCTTCGTCGTGAGGACGCGGCACGCTTAGCGTCTCAACGTCGTCAGGAGATACTTCGTAATCAGGAGGACCAAGCTCTTCTCAGAGCAAATCCACTTCGATATCTGTTTCATCCTGCCTTCAAGGTAAAGATAAAGTAGCTATTGATAGTTAGAAAGTGCTCAAATTTCAGGCGTGGCTAGTTCGTTGGAAGGTGCCAATCTTCCTTGCAGCTGCTAACCTCACATTACTCTTTCTCTTCTATAACCTGCTCACTTACGATAGGAAACGTCGTTAGTCGTTATCAGAGACGCTGTCATGGGTCTACAGGTCCTTTGCCCCTCGAATGTGCTTGTACAACAACGTTGCGTCATAATGACGCCATCTAGACCGATCCCTGTTCCCATATGACTACTTTCGCAGCGACGTCATCGCCGACGATCGCGGCTTCACCTCTTTCAGGGAGACTTCCAGTCACAAAGTTCCTCACGCATTCCCTCTCACTTCTGCGTATTCTTCATGTAGTTGAGGAGGTGTACACATTCCCATATGCTGCCCTGGGAGTTCGTGAGAATCAGTCCTGCACCTTATGAGTTCTCCCGGGCCACCGCCGCCTCCCCGGCTCTTCTCAACAGGTGCATTACCCACTTCCGCCACACAACAGTTCTATTTATTGTCGCTCAGCGCGTTCTAGCTCCCGACTGGTGAAGGCGGCGGCCGCTTCCCCGAACACGCCTGTCTCGGCTGCCGACGTGTCGCCATCGTCGCCAATGAACCCACGGTGTCTATGAAGAACTCCTTTCTCGCGACACCCACACCCAGCTCAGCCACGAGGTGTCTGAGTGCTACGAACACAACCTCGAATTTGTCGGGACATTAGATCTATTCGCTCACCGTTGTTATTCTACTGCATATTCTATTTTGCAAGATAATGATCCGCTGCCCCCGACCTCACTGAGGTCACTGAGGTCAGGTCAGCAGCATCCCACACATCATATTTTTGTAGATTATCTATTAAGAGCAGTTATAATTAAAGCCAGAATTAGTTCTGTTTTCGATAAATTTATTTAGAAGCCTATTGTCAAGGATGCTGTGAATCCTTGCCTCTACCCGTATTGAACGAGTTTGCGAGGTGTCGCGTCTCATGTCGAGTTCGAGAATCCTTTCATACGACACCTTGAAGCTCTAACGAAAAATCCTTGTTTGCTAAGGTTTACTATTTTTCATTACTAATAATATTATGCATCGAGGCCTTACAAGAGAGTATCAATCATTTATTGCATTGACTTTCTCGGATAAATATTTTATGAAATTATTTGTTAGTTTTG